GCAGCAAGTTGAGACACAGATCTGTCAGTCCCAGGAAATGGTCCCCTGCTGTCCTCACACCTTCCTCTGAAGCAGATTTTGCAAGTTCACAAGATGGGGGGTGGGGCAGGGAACATTTTTAAAAACTATATATCTCTGAGATGTGCTGGACTGCATATGCGCTCAGATGGAGATCTTAAGTACACACAAGCAGATTTCTTATTCTCTCTCTTCACCCAATTATAAATTCAAGCTCTGTTTAGAACAAAATAATGGTTGTAGAGAGTTCTAATTGCTTTCCAACTGTGTTTCCACTGGGCTACCTATGTGTCTGTGGCTCCATTTTTTTGATAGCCCAATCGGGCTGGAGCAGTCTACACAGATAACTTGGAAGGAAGTCACATGTTTTCCATAACTGCAGGGTGCACATTCAAGTCATGCGAAGGTGCACATTTAAGTGCATCTTTTAAACACGTGTTTTTCAGCTGTTAACCATTTTTGGCCACACTTTGGCTAAACGTCATTTACCCCCCCCCCCTTATCCCAGTTACTTCTGAGTTTTATTGGATGTGTAGAAGGGCCCTGTGAGGGATAATAAATATCCCAAAATTAGAAATGACCTTGACAGATTGGTGAGCTGGGTSCAAATTAACAAAATGGATTTCAAGATGAATAAATATACCATGTACATTTATGCAGATAAAATGAAATGCATAGATATTGAATGATGTCTGGTCTGATAACATGAGAAAAAGATTAGGGTACTTCATAAACCGCAAGGTCAATATGAGTCAACGAGTTGATGCATTGGCCAAAAAATACAATGGTATTTTAGACTGTGGCAACACGATTTTGCTAGGTTACATGTAAAATATAATTAAGACTGCAACCTTTTAAATGAAAATAAAATGATGTGGACCTGAAGAGTTTAGATTGGGATGTTATAAGCACAAATATGTGCACCAGATCTGTAGAGCATAAAAAGATATGTGGGAGAAAAAGATAAATGGAACTAATTTATTTTGAATTTACACACATGCTCTGCTTGCATTAATATTAAAGTTCTATCCAAAATCTAAATGGAAAGTCTGAAATCTTAGAAGTTCTCTAAACAGCATCAGCAAATCATTCTTGTTTACCCTACATGCTAATAAAATAGAAGCATGACACTCCTGAAAACAAGATTGCAAAATACAGAAAATGTGGTCTGACATTTTTTTTCTCCCCAAAGGAGGGACTGCCGCTAACGAAAGTATTTCTTATGAAGGCTCGATTGCTTAAGATGCAGAATATTAAGAGAGAAAAACACTTTAGGACACAGCCATGTCACCAGCTGTTACTCATTCCTAATGAAATTGTTAAGTGATATTCCTCATAAATAGGTCAGTGAAACTTTTGAATCACAGAGACTGTTTTCTCTGTGAAATGGTATTAAATTTAGAATGGGTAATTCATTAAGCTCATTAGCTATCACAGGGAGAGTAGAGCACTTTCTAAATGTAGGTTTCAGGGCTTAAAATGTTAGTGCTTACAAATAAACATGAAAGCAGCGTGTGCCATAAAATATGGGATCATAATATTTTAAAGTATATTTCGAGGGAGGCCCTCTGGATTAATTATGAACACTTTGTGGAGTCCAACATTAAGACATAAACAGCATATATCAAATGTGCTTTCCTTGGGAAAAAAAGCAGGGTGTGTAGTTAAAAACCAATCAAAAATGACGGATATTTCTGTTTGGAACCAAGATAAGAAATGGTTTTATATGTTTCAGCTTCATATTATGTTCTCCTTAAAAATTAAGCCACAGTTAAGAAGTAGTTATATCTGTTGGTTGTTAACTTGAAATGTTAAAAGTGGGAGCATTGCCCACTTTCACCAGGAAGGTCAGTGAAACATCTTATGTTTTGCCATGGGGGAAAAAATGAGACATCACTTAATAATTCATGAAAATGGTTGAATGAATGTAAGCCAAACACCTGAATTTCCTATGATCATACCCTTCAACTGTCTTGATTTGGGAGAAACTGTCTCCATTAAACATTTGCCATCTCATCTTTTCAGCTACTTTTAAAGGGTCCCGTTTTTTTTCTCTCCTTCCATTTTCCGTTTTGTCCCCAGCTTACTTCAGTAGCTTTAAACTGAGTTCAAGGTGCAAAAAGTTCGTTGTCTGGCTTAACAGGGAGTAGAGAATGCCAGAATCTTGCACTTCCCAGTAGACTCAGGCAAAAGCAAATTACTGCAGCCCCTTATAGGTTGTGTGTTCCCTCATTTTCCCATCTTGATCTTATCTGATGTTGCTTGGCCATATAAGTCCCAGGTTTCATATGAGAAATGCCACCATCTCAACATCAATCTTCATAATAATGATGAAATATTTATTTATATTGTTTCTGAAAGTAATATGTTTTATTTTATTTTATTTTGCTACATATGATAAAAAAACCTTTAAATTAAAGGGTGATTCTTTCAACCCTAGTAATTGAAAGCAGGATGCGACCCAACAGAAGTGTCTGTTTGACGATCCACTGAATATACCTCATCGCATATTCTGAAATGAGGACTGCTTTTCACATCAGTTGGAATCATACCTTTTTTATATGGAATTAGAGAGAGAATATGATTTTTTTTAAAAAAAATGTGATGGATTGTCAGCACAACATGGACTAAAACAAAACAATCAATGACAGGTACTAAGTCTGCCTAACTGTGGCCTTGATGCTGGTTTGTATTTGATCCTGAGTGCTGTCAAGGCAAAGGAGATCTAAGACTTTGCATGCATTCCTGTCAGAGAAGACATTCAGATCTTCAGAACCATTAGTTGTTGTTTATTCAATATGTGTCCCCATGTACATCAACCTTTCTACATGTCTTTATATTTTCTCTGAATTTTCTTCCATATATAAGCATGTGTAATGGACTTGGATCTATATAAGTCTTCTATATAACAAGTTTCCTGCTTGTTGAGATTTTCAGATATGCAATCACAGTTGTGTTTCTTTGTTGAGGAAACTTGCCAAGCGAAATCACTGAAGTACATTCAATATTGAGAAATTATCTACACTGCAGATTTATAACTTGGTTCCATTCTCAGAAACAGATCCCTAAGATCTGAAGAGAAATCAGACAAATGCTATCCTGGTGAAGAGTTCCCTTACACAGTAACTTTGTCTATGGCTTTATTGTTTTTATTCTCATTATGATTGTTGACACCTATTTACAGAAACTATGTAAAAAATAATTAAAACATGTACCTTATTATAAGGAATCAAACGACCCGGGTACTTCCATGCCTTGTACATCATGTCACAGCTTTATGAATTGAGAGCCAACTAATATGTATTTTGGGGGTTATGAAGCTATCAGAATTACAGTCTCCATGAAGAAAAAAATGGCTGTATTTCATTCATAATTTAGACTTGCATTAGCAACATTAGGAGCAGGACTAATATTAAATGTGCCGGGGAAATAAACCAGGAAAACATAGCAGGTCCCACAGATACAGACTGGAGGCCATTGGTAGCTTAAGATAAGGTAAACTCATTCATTACACCAACAAGAATTACATAAAGGTTAATAACCATTCAGCAAGTGATTCAGTGGATCTGCTGTAGGTGTAACTATTATTTTACTTTCCAAAATTATACAGAAATATATTAACAGCAATTGAGATTTCACTCCTCTAGTGTTCTGCTTTAGAATAAGGACATTGGCTACTTATAATGCTCACCTCCAACAATTGTGCATGCAGGATTTTAATTCAACTCAAGGAAAGATTCCTGGGCCAGAGTCAATATGACAGAACTTTCTTTCCTTCCTCTTTTCCCATCAGATCTTCAAGAACACCTTTCTTTTTTGGGTAGGGACACAAATCATGCAGGGAAGAGCCAAAATTGGCCCTCCAGTTTCTGTTGATAAAATCATGGTCCAGTTTTTGACCGATGTCTCTGATTGGATTTAGTCCTTGACTTCATTGTATTTTGTTCATCTACTCATGAACCCATTCATGAGTAGACCTAATTTCTTAGCTCTTCTCACTGCTGCAGTAGTTGTGACATATCCTGTTCTGATATGATAGACATCTATTAGCTGCATGACATACGAGAAATGTTATTTTCTGTTTTCCATATTGCTTGAGATTTTGTTTTCATTCATAGCATAAATCCATATTTGTGTGAGGGTGCTGGGGAGGGAGAGAGGAAGGAAAAGTGCCACAATAGCAGTCACATCAGTTGCCACAATAGCAGCCCCCACAGGGGGAATCTTGAAAGAAAATGAGATTAATAATTTGCAACTCTACATGTTTTGGATTGTTGTTGTTGTTGTTGTTGTTGTTGTTGTTGTTCTAACCCTTTTCTCCCCAAGGTGTGAAGACAAGGATCAATACAATTAAAATACAATATAAAACCATTTAAAACAATTTAAAACATCCAGATCAAAAACACATAAATATAATATTAAAAACAAGCCAGTACATCTTAAAATATGGCATACATAGAAAAATGCCAACGGGTAGGCCTGCTGGAAGAGATAGACCTTTAACACTTTCTTAAAATTAAGGCATTATGTTTAGTTATTGAAGCTCTTCTGGCAGGTCATTCCACAATCTAAGGGCAGCTGAAGAAAAGGTATTCTGGGTAACAGTAGCCATTAAAGGAGCTTGGGAGCCTACCAATTTTGCATTTTATTTTGGAAAATAGATCTATTGTCCAAGCCTCAAAGGAGGATGCTCTGGTCGAAGGAAATATTGACTTTCTCTTTTAAAAAAAAACAACACCCTGGAGTGTAAGTATTATTGAGCCCATACATGAGCAGTTCATACAAAGCTCTATAAAGTCATGTCAAGTTGCTGAGTATTATAATTAACACATATCAATTTTATTAACATGCAGGCTTTCCTCACTTTGTGCCATGCAAACTGTATATGTTCTGTCAAATTATTTTCCGTCTATCATTCTATGTAACAGCTTTGTTTGATTTGATAGAAGCCGATTTTGACTTGTAAATGGATGTATTTTCAGATATCCCGTCACAGAAGGAATCATTCCCAACATAATTTAACACTTCCTGAGTTCATTAGCCCACTGGAGCAAACGGTAAGCAATTGTATTACAGAATTTAAGATTTATTGATGGCGTTTTTTACTTTAGATTTCATTAATCAAAATGTAATGCATGAGTTTTGAAGGATAAGTACTTAAGGCTGCAGATGCCTCAATATATTAATAGGGTAAAGAGAATCAAAGATTTGGGGAAAGGTTGGTTAAACAGTGAAAATAGTAATTTTGGAAACTACAAGCCATTGCAGTGAGTGATATACAATTTCAATTACGCATTAACTCAAGAGAATTAAAGCTGACATTTCAGTAAGACTAGTAGATATTTATTTTAGAGTGACTTTGGTTTTTATAAAAATGAACGGCAAATTAAGTGTAATTAAATAAAATGCTAGGTGAACTTGATTTTTTAAAAATGTTTGCTGAATCAATGAGAGGAACATATTATCTTAGTATAAAGAAATAATTTGGTCCCAGTTTTCTGTTTTTCGTTTGGGTTATCCTTCAGACTCCAAAAAGCTCTTGCTCACATCTTGAGCTGTGAGAAGAGGCAGACAGACAAGAAATAAAATAACAATTATTATTATTATTATTATTATTATTATTATTATTATTATTATTATTATCATTAAATCAGGGTTCTTGAATTTTGGATTCATAGACCACCTTCAGCTCCAAGGGGCTTTAAATGGTCATTAAGGGATTCATAAACTGAGAACAAAGGGCAATGATTTACTTCCTGTTAATTTACTTCCTATTGATTTCAAAATGTGTCTAAGTGACCCCTTTCCTGGAAAGTGGCACCATTGCTTCCATCAGGGCCCTTCCAGACAGCTTTAAAATGTTGGACAAATGAGAGGGGTAAAACACTGTGGTACCTTAAGGAGAATCCAGACATGGAGCTGTCAGTTCCAGTAAATGCTCCCCCGGTATCCTGACAGGTTCAGTTGTAGCAGATTTTAGACATCTTCAAGGTGGATGTGGGATATCTACCAGAGGTTTCCTTTTAATTTTTTAGAAAATTGACCCTCCAAGATGTGCTGGATCTTATAAGCGCTGGTGAGGCTATACTTATGTGTACACACAGAGATTTCTTGTCATTATCTCTCCTCACCCTCTGGTTACCTTTACCTCTTGAACTCTGTTTCCCTTTGGGGTCACTTCACTGCCATGCTGGTGCCCAGTGTGAAAAAGTAAGCACTGTTTAATTTCATAAACATCAAAACAAAGGAATGGTTGCAGAGAGTTCTCGTGGGAATAGCTTTCCAATTGTGCTTCCATTTAGCCACCTGTGTGTCCATAGCTCCATTTGTTTACAGCCCTCATCAGATGTTTCAGGAATTAAAATATGCACATGTACTGGAGCAGTCTACACCAGCATACAAAAACAAAGTCATTTGTTTTTTTCTTGACTGCAGGGATAAACAGTTAAGTGAATATGCACATTTTTCTTACAAAATTGGATTTTAAGTGCCCCTTTTTAGCACATGTTTTTCAGCCATTGATGCAATCCAGTGCATGTTTTTGGCAAATGGCATGCCCCCCCCCTTATCCCAGTTTCTTCAGTATTTTAAGGGCTCATCAAAGCTTTTTCTCAAAGGAGTCCATGGCTCCAAATGTTACAGATCACTGTCTTAAATATATATTTAAGCTAATGGAATTTGAAAGATGACCCTTTTTGTAATTAAAATGAAAGTAAGCTTTTGAGAGGTAGGGAAGGTGTGAGGCTGATCTTAATTCACCTGTTTTGCAGAGATCATGCAAGCAAAGCCTTACACCACAGTGATAACATTTTAATCTGAATTTAGAATGTATGGTTTGGAAGGTAAGCAGGTTCAGGCCTGTTTAGTATTTGTATGGAAGACTGTCAACAACTATCATGTACGATAAGCTATATTTCACATAAAGAAACTGGAAAAAATATTGCTTGCCTAAGAAATTCATGGGGTCACTATATGTTAACATCTGACTTGGAGGCACATGCACACAAACATTTATAATGTTTGCTTTTTCCTAGTGCATACAGAATTCAGAATTCAGAATACAGAATTCTTGTTTAGCTAAAAGGAATAATTCTTATTTAACAGGAATGTATCTTGTTTCCAAGATGAATTCCAGATACTGAATTTATGCTGTGGACTCCAGTGGCTGAAAGGAGCAAACTACAATTTGCAATTAACAAATTAGAAGAATAGTTACCTATGGAATAAGAAAGGATTCTTTTGCAGATCAAGAGACAGGGCTGGTTCTAGCATGAAGAAATTACCTGAGGATTTATTTGCAGACAACATTGAGCATAGCAAGAAGAAGAGGAAAGACTAGGACACTGGGAGACCATGGTTCAATTCCCCACTCAGTCATGGAAACTTATAGGGTGACCTTGGGTGAGTCACACTTTTTTAGCCTCAGGGGAACACATTCTGCCAACAAATCCCTATAATAGGTTTTTAGTAAGTCATAAATTACTTGAAGGGACACAACAGCAACTATAAAGTGTGCACAGGCCCAATTATCATGCTGTTTTCTACATCTACAGGCTTTCTCCATATATTTCTCCAAGAATATGTTAGATCATTTTTTCTTCCCTCTCATACATAAAACCTGTGAACCTTTTGCCTTATTTCTCTGCTCATTTTTGTTCAGGGCTACTCTTCTCTCAACCTTTCCTCAGCTGGAAAGGTGCAGGAAGGGCAACTAAAAAACACACAGAGATGAAACCCTGCAAAGAAATGATGGATATTTATTGAGGCAGAAAAGCTAGCAAGTGCTGTAAGGACATTTCATGTTCAGTAACCGCACGTCATCTATCTAGGGGAAGACTGGAAGGATAACCTGAATTCTCTGAGAAGGACTGTGATGAAAACATTTTAGCCAATGCAACACAGAGATATCTGTCTATGGTCAGCTTCACAAGCAACATTCCTCATTTCCAAACCCTGATCATTGACTGTGGATCAAAAAGAAAGGACTTGGGGGTGGGGGTGGAATATGAGTGTCTTAAGGTCACTTCTTAGCTAATCAAGTAGTTTGCGTTTCCTACTGGAATAAAGTATTTAGGCAATTGGGGGAGATGACTGAAACTGGGATCTCTTTCTGAAGCTTAGATAGTAAACAGAAGCTTCCTCCAGCTTGGTTTTTAGTCAAGAGGAAATAGCTTCCTTGTACATATCATGGTAAGAACATGACAGATACGCAAGGTAGAGAAGGAAAAGAAGAAACAGGTGCTTGCTATAACCCTCATGCCATGGAGTTCAGGAAAACTGAGTGATTTGTGCAATCATAGTGAAAATATCCTTGCAATTGCTGTTTGGAACAACAGTCAGATCCCAATGCATTTGCTTTGAGTCAGTAATACATATTTTTTCCTTTTCCATATTCATTTTGAATGTAATACATCTATCCATATATAACAGTATGTAATACAGGAAGCTTTCATTTATCTGATGGTTTAGGAACTGGAGTACTGTCAGAAAGTGGAATTGGTTGAAGAGCAAAACCCTAATTATTTTATCTTGCTAATCCATTTTGACCACTGAAAAACATAAATAACACATTATAGATCACTTTTGAATGCGTAAAAAAGCTAAAAGAGCTTTTTTTTAAAAAAAGGAGAAGTTGACTTTTTCTGTGGAGAAGCCTTGGGACTGTGCATCTCTATGCAAGCAAGTGTTGTAAGAAAGAAGAATTCATAAAATAATGGACCATTCATCAAAGTAATGAAACTCTTGTCTGTTATTTGCGAGCATTGAAGAAGTGAGCCAACAGAAAGCAAGGCATCAAGAGATGAGAAAAACTGCATTACAAGGGCTTCACAGTTCTTAGGAGACGCATCAACCCTGACCAGTTAGGATGGTGTAGATGTGGATCAGCCCCTTGGTAGTTAAATGTCACAGAGGGCTGATCCAGGGTAATCCAGGGCAAGGCCGCTATAGCACAGCCTTGACCCAGGTTACTCTAAGTCAGGAGAAAAGCTGAATCCTGCCCCAGTAGTTAGGTTTTCCCCAACTTAGAGCAGTCAGGACAGTTGGGTCAGTTCCTAACCGGAAATGGCTTTAACTTTCTTGACTTCTATCACACATCCCACAGCCTTGGGCAGCCCAGAGCCATAGAATAGCAGTTCACTGTCCCATTCCCCCCTCCCCGCCCTCAATGTCATGGCAGTCACTAGCCATGAGTTGGCACCACCTTCTCCCCTGTATTCAATCTGATGCCAGGTAGAACATTAAGTGCTGGAAAGAAAGGGGAGAGGAAGTTCCCAGAACTATTTCTTACATCAGAAATAGTTACAGTTACATACCACTGTGACACAAAGGGCAGGAGGGGGGATGGATCAAGGGAGGCTGCCCAGCAGCATTGAACCATGTCTGATGTGGCTGGGCAGTAGGGACAGTCTTCCAACTCTGTGGCAACTGAAAGGATCCTTCTGCAGGCTCCAGTTGGGTTTGTGTAGACAAGCCCAGGATCTCTTAAAGACATAGATTGCCCAACGTATTCCCAACGGTTTAATCGTAAAAATGCAGAGTATGCTCTTCATACCATTGTATACGTTTGTGTGTGTGTTTATATATATATTTAAATGACTTGGATTGTAACAAAAGAAAATAATAGGCCTATGCTGTAAACATATGTTAAGCTTAGTTTTTATTGGGTTGTTGTAGGTTTTTCCGGGCTATATGGCCATGTTCTGGAGGCAATTTTTCTCCTGACGTTTCGCCTGCATCTATGGCAAGCATCCTCAGAGGTAGTGAGGTCTGTTGGAAGTAGGAAAAATGGGTTTATATATCTGTGGAATGACCATGGGTGGGACAAAGGACTCTTGTCTGCTGGAGCTAGGTGTGAATGTTTCAGCTGATCACCTTGATTAGCATTCAATGGCTTGGAAGTGCCCGGGGGGAATCCTTTGTTGAGAGTGATTTTATGTGCCTGTTTGTTTCCCCTCTGTTGTTTTGCTGTTGTGATTTTTGAGTCCTTTAATACTGGTAGCCAGATTTTGTTCATTTTCATGGTTTCCTCCTTTCTGTTGAAATTGTCCACATGCTT